ATTAATAGAATTTTAAATCTAATATAAACTAACATGAGAGTGATTATGGGTCGTATAAACATCATTTGCGATCGAATTTCGGTGTTTTTATGTGTTCATTATAAGTGGTACTAGTGACCAGATATCTGGTACTATAATAACATAAAACAGGTACTCTATTACTCTATGACTGGTACTGATTTTGAAAATGTTGACCTGAGTAGCACTTTTTTGTTATTTCTACAAAACAAGTACTAATTTATCAATAACTGGTGCTGAATAAAAGAACAAGTGGTACTAATACATCAATAACTGGTACCAATTGATCAAAAGACATTCTCCGACAAAATACCAAATACAACTGACAAAATACAAAATACACCTGGGCAAAAACAAAATACACTTGGGCAACAAAAATAAATTACACATGCCCAAAAAACAAAATACATGAGTGATCTAGATAGGTTCTTTGCACGTACGTCGATTGTGTCCACGACGACCACAACGCTTGCACCGCCTAACCGCAACATCAACTTGTGAAAGAATTCTTTTTTCCCTCATGCGTCCGGGCTGAGGTCGTACATCCGGAGCATGAATGACATCATCATTAGATATGGAGGAAAAGGCCACATTATGATCGTAGTTGGGTATAGGATTAATAGTACCTTGATAAGCTTGCCTATACATCCCAACCCGATAATATGGATCACAAAAATCATAGATGGACATTGACTTACTCTCAACACAAGCACATGCATGGCGACATGGCATCTTAGATAGTTGCCATTCACTACAAGAACAAGTGCGAGTTTGCAAATCCACGTCACAACTTTTGTCCGCATCAACAATCCATTCACTTGATTGCATGATTTTGAGACTCCGGAAAGCATTGTAGCGAGATGCAATTATTTTTTCGAGCTTCGGACACAACGGGCCATTAAACTGTGACCCTCCTTCAGGGCGATCGTGCATCATGGTCATAATTTGCTTCCATATGTGATCGACCATGGCTACGATAGGCATAAATCATGCCGCCCTCACCCAATTATTCCAACATTCGGCTTGATTATTATTCATGATCCCCCAACGGTCTCCGTTAAATAAGGAATTCGCCCAACAACTTGGGTTAGAATCCTGAAGGAACTTTAGAGCAAAAGGCATATGAGTCAATATATTATTTATATGCATATCAAATTCTTGCCTCGTAGGAGCTTACGCAACTTTCTTAAAAATCGAGGACCAATGTTTCTTATTCTTAAGTGGGTAGCTCTTCAAAACCTACAAATAATAATAATAATAATAATGAAACCTGCTTTATAATGAAAATAAACATAATTTATAAAAATAAAAAAACTATCAGAATGTATAAACAAAATGTTAAGGAATGATGGTTTATACACTTACTCATGGTCAACAAAAAAAAAAAAGGTACCAAACAATAAACCACACTCATTAAGTTTTTTACCTGGTTCTTAAAGTTGTCGACTAAGTGTCGCAAACAATAAACATGATGGCTGCCAGGAAAGACCATAGGGATGGCTTTAAGAAGCCCATTGTGTCGGTCCGTAAAAAACGTGAAGCTTCTAGGAACAGGTAAGCCCGAGGTAAGAAGAGTATTATTCAGCTTCACGCAAAACCACTCCCAATTTTCATCGGTCTCGGCATCAACCACAGCATATGCTAAAGTGAACAAATCATCATTGGCATCCTTACTCACAACACTAAGCAAAATGCCTTTGAATTTATTTTTTATGTGAGTGCCATCCAAAAATATCAACGGTCGACAACATGTTATAAAACCAACAAGACAAGCATGAAAGCAAATGAACAACCGGCGGAACTTATTCTGGACAGAATCAAGCTCACAATCCGCAATGCTTCCCGGATTTGTCTCACGCACTTTAGTACAATAACATCTCAATTTATCATAAGAGCCCTTGTCTGTTCCATGAATATCTTGCATGGCAATATCCTTCCCTAACCATGCCTTTCTATAAGGCAACTCCAAGCCATAATCTCTATGAAGATCTTTCAATATCGTGCATGGCCTGTAGCTATTTTCATCTCTCAATTTCTCCTTAATTGCATTCGAGACCCAATGAGAGTCTGCTTTCGGATGCCCCCTTATCTGAAGATTGGACACTCCACAGGTATGAACTAAATTGCTCTTCCGGATGGCAAATACCTGATCACCTTTGTATTTTGAGGCATATATTCTCCATTGACAACCCTCATCAGTACAACAAACAATGATCTTCCGTTGATCATTTTTTCTGTACTTGAAAGAACGCCTATTCGCAATTGCGTAGTTTTTAACAACCTTCCTAAATTCATCCGCACCGCCACTAAACATCTGCCCCTCTCCTTTGATAGAGAATCTCCAAGAATCGATCGATTTATCTTGCACTACCAACTCTGATTCTCCTTCCCGTAACATTTTCCTGCGTTCATGATAAAATAATACAAACTTTTATAAATAATGGAAGTAGTTAAGAAATTAATGAATTTGGATATGACGATACAAATACACCATACATCAATAATAATTTCATTAATATTATGAAAGCAACATTACCCGCTCATGTTCATCGGCATAGATTGAACTCCATCATCCCGTCTTTCATTTCTTCCAATGTCTGGGATTTCATTTCTTTCAATGGCAACTAGCTCCACAATATTTACTTTCCAACAAAGATGTAACCGAATCATGTTTTCTACATCGTCATCATTGGATAAACTAATTCTCTTTTTCTCCTTTGGCGCAATATAGTTTAACATGACGGTTTCCAAACTAACAATCGGCCACCTCTTACCAATGAGAGTGTACACTTCATCAAGAGTTGATTCAAGGTTCAGAGAGAACACATACATTTCATCTTTGTATGTACAACTCCCTAATATATCACTTTGTGCCCCTTCCATGTATCTAACAATAATTAGATTAAAAAAAAACAAGTTCACATTTCCCAGCATATATGGTACCAACAGTGAGCAAACTTGTACTATATATCCAAACAGAGGTACACACAACCATCAATAGTTGTACTATGATTATTCTCATCTTATTTTTTTGTTTTATGGTCAATAACACCTAACATAACCAAACAATAGCATAAATTTAGTATACATGAACAAGAAAAAAAAAGGTTTATGATCACTTTATTTGTTTTAGGATAAATATAAACAACAATGTTCAAAATTCAATCCTTCACAAATCAAACAAAAATATATGAATTAAAGATGATTTTTGGACTCCAAACTTCTCATATAATACATACATTACTTACTACTTCAAGTTTTCCCGGAAAAAGTCACAATCTTGCCGGAAAAATAAGAATTTTCGAACAGAGAGATAGGAATTTTTGTGCTCCTTCCATGTATCTAACAATAATTGGATTAGAAAAAGAAAATGTTCACATTTTTCAGCACAGATTGTACCAACAGTGAGCAAAGTGGTACTATATATCCAAACAGAGGTACAACACAATCATGAATAGTGGTACTATGATTATTCTCATCTTATTTTTTTGTTTTATGGTCAATAACACCTAACATAACCTAACAATAGCATCAATTTAGTACACATGAACAAAAAAAAAGGATTATGATCACTTTATTTGTTTTAGGGTAAATATAAACAACAATATTCAAAATTCAATCCTTCACAAATCAAACAAAAATATATGAATTAAAGATGATTTTTGGACTCCAGAGTTCTCATATAATACATACATTACTTATTACTTCAAGTTTTCGCCGGAAAAATCCACAATATTGCCGGAAAAAAAAAAAAGAATTTTTGGACAGAGAACTAGACTTTTGGCCGGAAAAAGCCTCGATGTCGCCGGAATTGTTGCCTCCGGTGTTCTGCTTGCCGAATTTCGTGTCGCCGGCGAGATGAAGCTGCAAAAGAAAACATAAAAAAAGGGGGCCGGCGGCGAGAAGATGAAGAAAAAAGAGGGGGAAAACGGGAGGAGATGAGTGGGGAAGAAGGAACATAAAATCAGATTTTTAGGTAAAGAAAAATAGTAAAATAATGTGTAAGTGGGGATGATGTCACAAATTAATTTTTTTGTCATTTATTTTAATAGGAGGGATTTAAATGAAAGATGAATATAGGGGTAGAGAATAAAATAGATAAAAATTATGAGGAGGGACTGACTTGAAAATTTAATTAGGGATTGAGGATTTTTAAAGAAATCTCCCAAAACCCACTAACCATTGAAAAGACTCACAAGCCAACACTAATGATGAGTGTCATTTATTATGAATAAATGTGTAAGTCTACCCAATTGATTTTTTCAAGATTTGTGTAATTTAATCTTCTACTTATTTGGCCAAACCACAAACAAAAATCAACTTCCAAGAAAGATAATAATATTTTCAAGAACAAGATCTAACAAACAACATTATAAATTAAATATCACATCTTTGCAAAATGTACTACAAACAAGCTCCAACAAACAACATTTCAAATTAAAAATAGCATCCTTGTAAAGTTAACGAAAAGAAAAAGAAAAAACGGAGTGGAACAAAAAACCTGAAAATGAAATATAAAACATAAAAATACGCACCCTCGGGCAACATATTTCGGAACGTCGACCATGACTCGAAATCGACTCAACTGTTTTCAAGAATTGTGAAATTGTTGAACTCTACTTTTCTCAAAAATAATTGGGGAAATCTATAAATAGCAATAGTAATAACTAGTAAATGAAGTTTCCTACCTTCCATAATTATTGAGAAAAAGGATGCAACGATAAAATTGAAATTTTATATTTTATCTAGTCTTTCACAACAAACAAAATACCAATCTAATCTCAAGGTAAAATTAATCGAATCTCATCTAAGAAAACAAACCCACTCTAAAAATCTCAAGTGAATACACGTTTTGTCTAATCCTGAGGACATAGTTTAATCCTGCCTGGCCTCTAGGCTGCAGACTGCGAGCTAGCCACATTTTAAAATCTTGTTCAAAACAATAAAATCAGTAAACGAAGGTCGAAAATATTAGTATGATTCTTTTTCTATGACCAGTCAAAGTCTTGGACAGCTTCGAAAAGAAACAAGCAGATTTTTCTTTTTCGTTTTTTTTTTCCTCAAAATGCCCAAAATTAATTCCAAAGAGAAAAAAATAGTGCTTATCCTAAATGGCTAACCCCGTCGGTGGCTTCTGCCAAAAACTCCACCCACCTTACTTAAAAGTGTCAAAACAAATTATGTAATTCATCAGTTACTTCCATTCCCAAGTTCACATTTCCTCCAATTGGAGCCGAAAAAAAAAAGGTAGCAAGGTACAATCCAAATATGGACAAAAATTCATTCGCAATGGCTTCCTTCTACAGGATAATGTGCAATCACGATTTCAAATCTCAGCTTGTAAGCCAAATTCCTTCAATTTTTCATTTCAATTTTTAATTTTGACCAAGTTATTAACTAACATGCACGCAATATAACAAAAACTTGTCCGAAAACTATATTGCATGCAAATGACACCTTAACTAATTAATTAAGATCTTGCAATTGTATATATATAGAAACTGCCGCGGCAATTTGTGATGGATCACGAAGAAGACTTGTCAGAAAAAGTCGAGCTCTTTGCTGAATCCGGAGTCTGGACCGTTAAAATCGAAAAAATCGGGCCCGATCGTTTCTTCACGGATGGATGGTCCAGATTCGCCGAAGATTATAATCTGAAGTCCATGGAATTTCTGGTCTTCCGTTTGACCGGAAGATCCAAGTTTGAGGTTTTGGTGTATAATTTAAGTGGCTGTCACAAGGAGTTGCATTTTCTAGGTTCGAGTTTCATTTTTTTTTTCGAATTTTTTTTTTTTTGTGTGGAAAATTTTATAACTTTAATTAACCTTAATGTTACGTTGCAGGTAATGAATTGAATATTGTAGATGACGACGATGATTACGAAACTGATGATCAATCGGGTTTTTGTGGTGAGGGGCAAAATTGGAAGTTTGTCAAGAAATTGACTCAAGAACACACATCTGAATTGGTATTTTTTTTTTCCTTTACAATGATAATGATAATGATGATAATAATGATAATAAATAATTAGTTTACCGTACATGAAAATCAGCCTAGTCAGTGAAGTCACATGTGTTGATACTGATGTAACACGACCAACAAGACGATGACATTTGAATATTAATTAATATCCAATTCTGAACTAATTCCAAGATTTCAATATATATACTCAGCTCGGCAGTTATTTTCTGTTCATTGTGGCTTTGATCTAAATGAAACCTCGTGTTAGAAAATTTTCTTTTGGATCAGGTCGATAATGATGAGTACGTACATTGAAAATCTTAGATTAGTCAATGATTAATTGGATATTAATTAAGATCCAAATGCAATTGTGTTAATTAAAATCGCTATCGAATGTTTATAAAGTCATGCTCAATTATTCATAAATTGTGTATTAATTGTCATGTGTCGTAAAGTCAATGCATTTGGTACATGTGTCAATACATTCATCCACTGTCTGTTGACTTTGTTGGGTTTTATACCCTTGTATGTTTACGGGATATATAACCTTAATTCTTCGCCATATGTATAATCGAGGGTAATCCTTTTGAAACCACCCAAAGTGAATCGAAAAATAAATTTTGATTTAGTTGGACACACTGTAATTAGGAAATTCCAAGAGATTTTGCGGAAGGATGTGGAATCGTGACAAACAGGAAACTAAAGCTGCGGATGGGGAAGACAGGGAGAAAATGGTCAATTTACTTGACGGCTAATAAACACGGCAAATTGATGGTTCGTTGGGGTTGGAATGAATTCTTGACGGGCAATAACATTTTCACTAAAAGCACGATTTCGTTTACATATGTTGGCGGTCCAAGCAATGTGATAGAAGCGGAAGTGGTGAAAAACGAAGGTAGTAATGGTAAGGGCCAATTGTTTTGTGTCGCTAAGACTAAGAGATTTAGGGGAAGGCCTCCCAAATTACAAGCCTAATTTCAAGATAGCGTTTTTCCATATTAGAGTGGTTTGGAAAGAATCTTGTTTTTACTTTTTTTCTGCATTAACGTAATTTGGTAAGAATCGTGTTTTTACTGCATTAGGGTAGTTTGGTAAGAATTGTGCTTTTGGAAATTGGAGTTGTCTATGTTGTTCTCATATTGACATGCATTCAATAACGATGCTCATTATTCCGTAACTGCATATGTTGAATACTTGAATCTCTTAGAGTATGTGTTCCATAACAATACATATAATATTTACATAGCACAAAAAGTTAACGTTTAGTTTTGGAAAATTTTATATTTGTGAGGAATGTATGAGACAAATAAATAGTATGTCACCTAATAGCTAAATTATATATTTATGAGGGATGCATGAGAAATATTACATTTGTGAGGGATGTATGAGTAAATAAATAGGGATGCCTTGGTGACTCCGCCTAGTAATAATGCAGATCAGTGATGATTGGTCGGTATAAATATACATAAAAATGAAACAAAATATCGGTTAGTAAAAAAATAAATAAAAAAATTATTAATCATATAACTCAAAAATTAAAATTTGAAATTGGTACTTTTATTTTTACTTTTATTTGAAAAACTGAACCTTCCTAATATACTCTTCTTCTTTTATATATATATATATATATATATTATATTAAAATTCATATGCACTATTATATTTACTACTTGGGTATTAAAATAGTAATTTCAATTGAAATTAGGGAAGAGATGGAATTTGTGGGTTAACAAGGAAATTGCTTAATTTAATCCTTTGTGAGAGTCCGCAAAATCATTCTCCCTTTCGGAATACACGGAAATATAATATAATTAAAAATTTGCACAAAATCAAAACACACAGAACAGAACACAGCACAAACCACAATAATGGCTCCTTCTCTGCGCCAGCGCGCCGTCAAGCCACGATCGCCAAGGTTCTTCAAGGTCATCCTCAACCATCGGGCCGAAAGGCTTGTAAGTCCTCTTTCTACTTCGCCTCAATTTTATTTTTTATTTTTTAGATTTAATGTTTTACTATCTCTGTTATTGCAGAGAATCCCGAAAGCGTTCGCCGCGAAATTCGGGTCCTCCCTTCCCAATCCCGTCTTTATCCGGGCCCCAGGCGGCCCGGAATTCCGCGTCGAGCTGATTATATCGAACGGCGAGTTATGGCTGGGAAAAGGCTGGCCCGAATTCAGAAAACACTACTCGATCGAATTCGGGCATTTTCTGACTTTCAAATTCCACCAAAAGTCGAAATTTCTAGTCCTCGTGTTCGATAAAACCGCCCCTGAAATCGACTATCCGTTGCACAACAGCCGGTTGTCCAAATCTGAGTCGGACGGTGATGATAATGATGATGATTTGGATGATCCAACGGCCGAGAGACTTTCTCGGACCATGAAGAAAGATGGAGAAAAAATTCTCCTTGATAAAGAGAGGAGCTCGGCTTATCGACGAGCAATGGCTTTCGTGTCCGACAATCCAATCCAAAACGACCATTTCGTGACGTTAATGTATCGTTCTTACGTACGGACCAGTTCTTATTTGGTAAGCTACAATGAACAACCTTTACTTTTTGGCATAAATTTTCGAGTCATACTTCTTTAAAAGAAAATGCATAGTTATAATTATAGTGAGAAAATGTCATATTTTTGTTCGCTTGTTTTTAAAGTATATCACATATGTGTGAAAGTATGTACATTTGACGAGAAAAAGTATTTGTTGTCTAACTCTTGGACTTGCGTTTTGGTCATCGTTGTTTCTGAATTTTTTTTACTTCAATTTCTTGTATGTTTGGTTAAACTAGCTGATAACTAAGTGATAGCTTATATAAGTGAATTTCGAGCTTATAGCACGTGGCTTATAGCTGAAAAGCTAGCTGATATTATGAAAGTATTTGGTCTGATAAACCAAACCAGCAAAAATAAGAATGTAATGGGATTTATTTAAACATCTATCTATAAGCTCGAGTTTTTTTCCCCTCCTACTAAACCAAACTTTTATTTATATACAGAAAACTTATAAGATAATCAAATAAGCTATAAACTAGCATATGGGGCTTACAAAACATACTCTTTGTAATCACTAGTGTTGTTTTTTTCGTTTTTGGGGTAGGCTGTGCCGCTAATTATCGTGAAGAATAACTTGCCGAAGCAAAAGGATAACGAGATAAAGCTTCGGTGTGTGGACGGGAGCATGTGGGCTGTTAAGTGCATCATGACTCCAACGATTGCGAGGATTGGTGTGGGTTGGAATCGGTTTGTTAAGGATAATGGTCTTAAGTTGGGCGACTCGGTTGTGTTTGAAGTGAGCAAGAACAGCAAGCTCGTGTGGAACGTCTACATTTTCAAGAGTTGAAGAGGTTTGAGGTGTTTCGTAAGTTAGTTAGTTAGTTATTTGAATAAATAATCTCAATTTTTGTGTTGTGCATGGATATGTGAGAACTTATGATCTAGAATTTTGTTGTGTTCTATGAAGAGAGAATGTTATAATTTGACTTTGTTAATTTGTGTGTCCAACATGTGATGAGCTTATGATAAAAACTAATAGTAATTGATTCAGAATGTTGACTTCTCATTATTAGTGACAATACAGAGTTAATTTTATCATCATTAATTCTCAAGAACCTAACTCAATTTTGCAAATTTGGATATTTTCATTAAAAGTTACCATACATTAAGAAATGATATAAACACAATTATGATATTTGATAATATAAATATATGTATTTGGTCACACCGCTTAATGTTTTTGCCGGCTTTGCACAAAATTTTGAAAACGGAAATTTGTGAAAGGAAATTGCTGGCTAAATGAAGATTTGTGCTGTTTTAATTTGTGTAATCCTCTGAATTAGATGATGATGCCTTAGCTTGCGTTGTCTGAAGTCTCCTATTTTCTCTATTTTTTGATACATGTTTGGAATCATAATAAGTAGTAATAGTTTTTAGCATTTCTGAGTAGTTGAAGTGAAGTGAAGTGAAGTTTATTTGTCATCAAAGCTTAATTAATGAACCAATCTCTATCTATTAATGGCATTGAGGAGGAAAGCGTAATGGTCAAGTGTATTAGTCCTCGATCAATTTTAGTACTTTCAGTTACTTCACAATCATATCCCTTACCGTTACTTTCACAAATAATCATATATATACAGTACATACATTTGCATTCTTCTCCATGCTATTCCCAAAATAATAATAACTATAATAATAATTTAAAAAATCCGCTTATCCGGCAAGTGACCATGAATTCCGGCTGCCGGCAAGACCTCCCGGTGGCACCACTCAAGTTCTTCAAGATTATTTTGGACCCTAAAGCTAACTGTCTAGTAAGTTCCTGCATTACATTCTCATGCNAAAAAAAAAAAAAACTAAACTTTTTTCATCATTTTTTGTTGCTTTTCTTAAAAGGACCACTTGAGAAAGGGGGGAAAATTTTCTAAAAAAATCCGCTTATCCGGCTAGTTTTCGATTTTACGATCTTTTTTTTTCCACCGCAGAGAATCCCACCCGAGTTTACGAAAAGATATGGACACAATCTGCCTAACCGTGTCTTTCTAAAAGTCCCAACCGGACAAAAAACGCAAGTCCAATTGGTTCGGTGTGACAAAGATAACACTGTCATGCTACAAAAAGGATGGCAAGAATTTAAGGATCTTTACTCAGTCGGATTCGGACATTTACTAGTTTTTGTTTACAATGGAGATTCCGAGTTTAATGTTTTTATATTTGATGTGAGTGCCGTTGAGATTGATTACCCGTTATTCGACAAAGAAGTTACGGAATCAGGTAATGATTCCGATTATGTTGTGGTGTTGGAAGACTATTATTCCGCGAGCAAGAAAAGAAAAGGTAAAGCCAAAAGCCACGAAAACGCTAATAAGGGACACTCGTCGAGTTGCGATAATAATGTGATTGAAATTTCGGAGGATTATCATGTCAAGAAATCGCTTAGGAGAAAACGGGATATTTCGTCTCATTTGAAGAAGGAATCAAGATCCGAGCTTGATGGTTTGATTCTTATTTATATCCTTAAATTCATATTGGTAGCCTTTTTGTTAACACTAACTAATTACCAAAATGTTATATTTGACAGTCGACGGAAGGGAAACGTGCGACGCCTATCAAAAAGCAAAGGATTTCGTGTCCAATCACATGACTTCAAACAACCCGTTTTTCATTTCTTTCATGCACAAATCCTATGTTCTCGAAAGATACTATTTGGTACGTATTTTCGAAATGCACTAGCTTTTACCAAAAAAAAAAAAAAAAAAAAAAAAAAAAAAAAAAAAGCACCATTTCACTTGTTTTTATTGTTTATTTTTTGGGTGTAGACTGTGCCGTATGCATTTGCTAGGCGAAATTTGCCGCGTGTGGGAAGTAACTCGATAGTTATGGTTAGCAACGGGAAAGAATGGACGTTGAGATGCCACGTAGGCGACCGACAAGCTCAGCTGACGACCGGATGGAAGAGTTTCGTGAATGAAAACGGGATTAAAGTCGGTGATGTGTGCGTATTTGAAGTGATGAAGAATAGTAAAGGCCACGAGCTCGTGTGGAATGTCGTTAATTTTCGCGATGATTAGCCAAACAAGGCCTTATGTAGTTAACCTTAAAACTAGTCTCGTCTTGAAATGGTTTTTTATTTTTTTCCCATTTTTAAATACTGGATAATGTTCAGGAATTTATGGTTATGGATGCCATATTCTAGTATTTTCCCATTTTTCTTTTTCTAATGAGTTAATTTATCACAATAAAAAGAGAGCTAAATGCCCATTAATGTGACTGCTCATTAAAGCGGCTGTTAGTATTCCAATCTTCATGGCCCTGCAACTAAAGAACTTCCAACTTCAATGTACTAATAATATATATTCACCATAATGGGGTAAAAATTGTTCTATCACAGCTTGAAAACAAATCCCATATAAACAGAAAAAATCCCATCTTTTGCATTATAAGATATAGAAATATGCTAGAAGATATCTGGCAGCCACCGTCGAGATTTTTCAAGATAATATTGGACCCTCAAGCAGACAATCTAGTAAGTTCTAAATGTTGTGTTCTACTAATTTGGAACACTTACAAAAAGAACAAAGAGTGAATGAACGTTCCTGCATATTTTTTAGTTTATATGTAAGCAACAAAAATTGAATGTGTTAGGATTTAGTACCAATTTCCTCTGTTTTTTTTGGCTTTTTAATATTAACTGCTCTTTGCGTGTATGTTTTTGTATGCATTGAGTTGTGCAGAGTTTTTGCCTGTCTGGAAAATCCAAGGGAAAAAAAATCTTGTGCATTTTTTTTTTTTTTCAAGAACTCATTTTAATTTGATATTTGCTCATTGCAGAGAATCCCACCTGAGTTTATGAAAAGATACGGACACAATCTGCCAAGCCGTGTTTTTCTCAAAATTCCAAATGGGCCATCAATGGAGGCAGAATTGGTTCAATGTAAAAGTGGCAAGACTTGGCTGAAAAAAGGATGGCTAGAATTTAAACAACTTTGCTCGATCGGCTTTGGATATTTCCTAGTCTTTGAGTACGATAAAAAATCTCAGTTTAATGTCCTAATATTCAACATGAGTGCTGTCGAGATAAACTACCCGGTATTAGAAGATAATGTGATGAAATCAGATAATGGAAATCAAGAAAACTCTCGAAATTTGTCATCTTGCTGCTTTCAACGCAAAAAACCGAGTTGCCGAGTGAAGCTTGAGGAATCTTCTAATGGTTTGAAATCTTCTGACCTTGAACTTTTAAGTTTTTCAGCATAATTATGTGATTTTCTAGTTATCTCTCAAAATTAAGTTTTTTTTTTCAATAGAAGTTATGAGCCAGTGCTTCTGTAATTAAACTAAAGATGAGGGGCTACTGTCCAGATAACCATAAATATCCACGCAGCGGAATTCACTCTTTTTTTGTTAAGTAATCAACTCTTTTTTTTTTTTCTTTTCGAAAGTGGTCGAAAAGTTATCGATAAAAATGATGTATCATGCAGAAAAATGCAGCGACATGAACTCGGCCTATCAAAAAGCAGCAGCTTTTAGCACGCGTCTGAAGAACCCTTTCCACATTAGTGTCATGAAGCATTCTGCTGTTGGTAAAGGATTCAGTTTGGTAATTGATCGAAAATTCTTTTGTCTACAAACTATAACCATTTTTTTTTTTAAAAAAAAAAGGAGAGAAAATAAAATTTATCCTCTGTTCATTGCAGAGTTTGCCTCTATCGTTTGCTAGACAGAATCTGCCTCGTGAAGATGCTAATTTGGTTATTATGGCAAGTGAAGGGAAAAAATGGCCTGTAAAGTGCCTCATGAGAAATAGCCGCGCTAGTCTATCGGCTGGTTGGGTAGGTTTTGTTAAGGGCAATGGGCTTAAACTCGGTGATGCTTGTGTATTCGAAGTTGCTAGTAAGGGTTATAATCCTGTGTGGAATGTTTTCATTTTTCGAAGCTGATAAGATAATACGCAGTTCGTTTTGAAGGACATACATTTTGAAAACGGTAGATTTTGAAGGACTCTAGGGTGAAAGATTTGCTTTGTTTTTTGTTGAAGTTTTTGGAACAAACAACTTGTAATTTTTTAGTCCTCTTCAGTACTGAATGAGCTTTTTCAGTTTTGAAGGACCTACATTTTCAAAATGGTAGATTTTGAAGGACTCGGGTTAAAGATTTGTGTTGTTTTTGTTGAAGTTTTCAGAACAAACACACTTGTAATTTTTTAGTCCTCTTCAGTACTGAAAGAGCTTTTCAGTTTTATCTTTAAATATTTGCTAAGTTTGGAAGTTTTTCATGAGATGGTCTCAAAAAAATTCAGACAGCCATTTTCATGCATTGAATCAATTACAGATATAGATGAAAATAGACTGAAATACATACCATTTAAATTGGTGAAGTTACCATCATCATCATAACATCAGCTTCTATCTGAAAATCTTTGTGCTCGAATCAATTACAGATAATAATCTGTATCCTACAAAGTACCAAACACATTCATCAGCAAGAACCCAACTACNNNNAGAGAAAATGATCAATAACTTCTATACATATAGAAGTATGACATTTGATAGTACAACTAATAAACATTTTTATTCCAAATAGTATGACTGGTCAACTATCAAGACTCTCACATTTGTGTTTTCAAAATAGTTCAACTCAAACGGTAAAACCGTGCTGCGTAAAGGGTGGCAAGAATTGAAGACTCGTTACTCGATAGGCCACGGGCATTTCTTAGTCTTTGAATACGATTGGAAATCGGAGTTTAATAATGTCTTGATATTCGATACGAGTGCTGTTATGAATCGTTACTTGGAAGGACCCACATTCGAATGTTATGAATCGAAGGACGAAATTAAGTGAAGATTTGTGCTGTTTTAATTTGTGTAATCCTCTGAATTAAGCCTCCTATTTTCTGTATTTTTTTATTCATGTTTGGAATCATAATAAGCAATAGTTTTTTAGCATTTCTGAGAAGTTGAAGTGAAGTTTAGTTTATTTGAAATCAAAGCTTAATTAATGAACCAATCTCTATCGCATTGCATTGAGTAGGAAAACTGAATGGTTAAGTATATTAATCCTCAATCAATTTTATTACTTTCAGTTACTTCACAATCATCCCATACCGTTACTTTCACAAATAATCATATATATATACATTTGCATTTTTTCTCCATGCTATTCCCAAAATAATAATAACAATAATAATAATAATTTAAAAAATCCGCTTTTCTGGCAAGTAGTGACCATGAATTCCGGCTACCGGCAAGACCTCCCGATGGCGCAACTCAAGTTCTTCAAGATTATTTTGGACCCTAAAGCTAATTGTCTAGTAAGTTCCTACTTTACATAATTACATTCTCTCATGCATGAAAAAACTTTTTTCATCATTTTTTGTTGCTTTTTTCCTAAAAGGACCACTTGAGAAAGGATAAAAAAAATGAAGGTTTGTTTGTTTTCATCTTTTGTTGGCTTGTATACATGTGAGCTTGGCTAGTTTTCGATTTTTTACGATCTTTTTTTTTTCACCGCAGAGAATCCCACATGAGTTTACGAAAAATTACGGACACAATCTTCCTAACCATGTCTTTCTAAAAGTCCCAACCGGACAAAAAACGCAAGTACAATTGGTTCGGTGTGACAAAGATAACACTGTTGTGCTACAAAAAGGATGGCAAGAATTTAAGGATCTTTACTCACTCGGATTCGGACATTTATTAGTTTTTGTTTACAATGGTGAATCCGAGTTTAATGTTTTTATATTTGATGTGAGTGCCGTTGAGATTGATTACCCGTTATTCGATAAAGAAGTTACGGAATCAGATAATGATTCCGATTATGTTGTGGTGTTGGAAGACTATTATTCGGCGAGCAAGAAAAGAAAAGGTAAAGCCAAAAGCCAAGAAAACGCTAATAAGGGACACTCGTCGAGTTTTGATGATGTGATTGAAATTTCGGACGATTATCCTCGCACGAAATCGCTTAGGAGAAAACGGGATATTTCGTCTCGTTTGAAGAAGGAATCAAGATCCGAGCTTGATGGTTTGATTCATATTTATGTCCTTAATAATCCATATTGGTAGCAATTTTTGTTAAGACTAACTAATTACCAAAATGTTATATTTGACAGTCGACGGAAGGGAAACGCGCGACGCCTATGAAAAAGCAAAAGATTTCGTGTCGAGTCACATGACTTCAAACAACCCATTTTTCATTTCTGTCATGCACAAATCCTATGTTCTTGAAAGATACAATTTGGTAACGAAATCGTTAAGCATTCCATTTATATTTTTTCGAAATGCATTAGCTTTTACCAAAAAAACAGCATTTCATATTTTTTTTATTGTTTTACTTTTTGGGGTGTAGGCTGTGCCATATGCATTTGCTAGGCGAAATTTACCGCGTGTGGGAAGTAACTCGATAGTTATGCTTACCAACGGGAAAGAATGGAATTTGAGATGCCACGTAGGAGACCGACGAGCTCAGCTGACGACCGGATGGAAGAGTTTCGTTAAGGAAAACGGGATTAAAGTCGGTGATGTGTGCGTATTTGAAGTGATGAAGAATAGTAAAGGCAACGAGCTCGCGTGGAATGTCGTGAATTTTCGCGACGATTAGCCAAACAAGGCCTTATGTAGTTAAAAACTAGTCTTGTCTTGGAATGGTTTTCTTTGGTAGCATTTTCCTTTGTTTTTTTTTTTTTTTTTNAAGTTAATTATCACACTTCATATGAGAGCTAAATGTCCATTAGTGGGACTGTTCATTAAAGCGGCTGTTAGTATTCCCATCAATTACTTAATTAGTTACTTTTGAATAATTGTCAATAGGTAATAATCATGAGATTCTTTTCATGGTTCTGTAACTAAAGAACTTCCAACTTCAAAGCACTAATATATATTCACCATAATGTGGTAAAAAATTGTTCTACCACAGCTTGAAAACAAAACCCCATAGAAACAGAAAAATCACATCTTTTGTATTATAGAATATAGAAATATGCTAGAAGATGTCCGGCAGCCGCCATCGAGGTTTTTCAAGATAATATTGGACCCTCAAGCAGACAATCTAGTAAGTTCTAAATGTGGTGTTCTACTAAATGGAACCCTTACAAAATTAAAGAACAAATAGTGAGTGAACTCTCCTGCATATTTTTAGTCAATGTGTAAGAAACAAAAATTGCATGTGTTAGGAGTTAGGACCAACTTTTCTTTTTTTTTTTTGGCTTTTTAATATTAACTGCTCTTTGCGTGTGTGTTTTTAACTTTTTATGTGCATTGAGTTGTGCAGAGTTTGTGTCTTTCTGAAAAATCCAAGGGAAAAAAAAAATCTTGTGCAATTTTTTTTTTTTTCAAGAACTCGTTTTAACTTGATATTTGCTCATTGCAGAGAATCCCACCAGAGTTTATGAAAAGATACGGACACAATCTGCCGAGCCATGTTTTTCTCAAGGCTCCAAATGGGCTATCAATGGAGGCAGAATTGTTTAAGTGTAAAAGTGGCATGACTTGGTTAAAGAAAGGATGGCTAGAATTCAAACAACTTTGCTCGATAGGCTTCGGATATTTCCTAGTCTTTGAGTACGATAAAAAATCTCAGTTTAGTGTCCTAATATTTGATATGAGGGCTGTCGAGATAAACTACCCTGTATTAGAAGATAATGTGATGGAATCAGATGATCAAAATCAACGAAAACCGAGTTGCCGGGTGAAGCTTGAGAAATCTTCTTATGGTTTGAAAATCTCTGACCTTGAACCTTTTAAGTTCCTCACCATAATTATGTGAAATTCTAGTTACCTCTCAAAGTTAAGATTTTTTCAATAGAAGTATATGATATATCAACTCATTTTTTGCAAATGGTTGAAAAGTTATCGATAAAATTGATGTATCATGCAGAAAAATGCAGCGAAATGAACTCGGCCTATCAAAAAGCAGTGGCTTTTAGAAAGTTTCTCAAGAACCCTTTCCACATTAGTGTCATGAAGCCTTCTGCTGTCGATCGAGGATTTATTTTGGTAATTGATCGGAAAATCTTTTGTCTACAATAANAAAAGATAGAAAATTAAACTTATCCTTTGTGTTCATTGCAGCATTTGCCTCTGCCTTTTGCTAGAAAAAATCTGCCTCATGAAGATGCTAATTTGGTTATTATGGCAATGGAAGGGAAAAAATGGCCTGTAAAGTGCCTCATGAGAAAAGGCGACGCTTTTCTATCCGCAGGGTGGGTAAGTTTTGTTAAGGGCAATGGGCTTAAACTCGGTGATGTTTGTGTATTCGAAGTTGCTAATAAAGGTGATAATAAGCCTGTGTGGAATGTTTTCATCTTTCGAAGCTGATAAGATAATACGCAGTTCGTTTTGAAGGACCTAGCTACGTTTTGAAATATGGTAGATTTTGAAGGACTCGGGTGAAAGTTTTGTGTTGTTTTTGTTGAAGTTTTATCCTACTCTTTTTTTTGCAGTTTACGGCTTTAAAGATTGTCTCTTTTCTTGAATCTTTGCCAAGTTTGTAAGTTTTTCATGAGATGGTCTTAAAAAAATTTCAGACAGTCATCTGTGATGCATTGAATCAATTACAGATATATGTATTAGATGAAAATATATGCAAATAAATACCATTTAAATTGGTAAAAGTTACCATCATCATCATCATAACATCAGCTTCTATCTGAAAATCTTTTTGCTTGAATCAATTACAGATAATAATCTGTATCCTACAAAGTACCAAACACATTCATCAGCAAGAACCCAACTACATAACAC